TTCCCTGCCAGGGTAGCAGCAGGACTGGGAGCTGTGAGCTGTCCATCTTGGATCCTGCTGCCTGAGCCACCGCCTGGAAAGTCGGGCGCAGGCAGAAGGGTGTAAATAGCCGCCAGATGCCATGTGGGGGCAGTTCAATGTGTTAGGTGGGCTGGGTCCGGACCAGCCCTGCTATGCAGCCTGATGTTGCCTCCACTCCCACGGGATCCAGACAGGGAGAGCTCGCTGGAAGTCGATGGCAGGGTCCCCAGCGCAAGAGGGAAGAGCAAAGGCTGCCTACAAACACTATCAGAATAAGGACTATCCTGTCCCCGAGTGACTCCTTTGAGCCACGGGGCAGCTCAGCTTTCAGCCCGAACAAGGCCGAGTTGGGGTGGGGGCTTTGGCCGTGAGGGGAGCAGGTCTGGCAAGAAAGCTGCTGTGCTCCCATTGGTCCCCACAGGTTCCGTGGCCACCTGGGCCACGATGAAAATGCAGTGAACGCGATCTGCGTGGGGGTGAGTGAGTCCCTGGGGCTGCCCAGCCTGGGGCCGGAGGAGGGTGGCGTGAAGCCCCGGCCCCGAGGCAGGGCACCTGGGCGCATGGATCAGGATCCAGCTGGCTGGCAGGAACAGACCGTAATGAGAATGCAGTTGTCCATGAAAGGGCTGGGCGGGAGTCGCCAGGGGAACGCTTCGCTCTGTACTTCAGTGGCAGCTGTGGCGCTCATGGGAACTGCCAGGCCAAGCCCCCCGAGGCAGAGAACGGGCCGGTTCCGTGCTCACTTGTCCCATGTCTGGACTCAGTGGGATTCGGGCTGATCTGCCCACAGCCTTTGGACCACGGGGAAAGTCCCGCCTGCCACTGTGGCGGTGTTTGCCTGGCACTAAGGGCCTTCCAGGGGCATCGCTTATCAGAATTGGGTGTGGCCAAGCCCTTGCCCCTTCGCTACGCTGGGGGGAGAGGAGAATCTGGCCCAATGGGTTGCAATCCTGATGATGAGACTCAAACCAACCCCCGTTGCTGCAGAACTGACATGGTTGTCGCCGCTGTGTGCAGGGATTTCAATTTCCCATTCCAGGGCGTGAGCTCCAGCCAGCTCGGTTACACATCAGCGAGACTGGGCGATACCAGGCTGCTCAGGATAGGTCAGACCAAAGAAACCCGGGAAGAGCTTCCAAAAGAGCTCACCAAACTCAGGGTGTGTCTAGACTACATGGCTACGTCAACGGAGCCATGCAGATGAGTTTACTAGACATAGGAAAATAAAGTGGCGATTTAAATAATCGCGGCTTCATTTACATCAAAATGGCCGCCGCGCTGCACCGATCAGCTGTTGGTGGCACAGCGGGGCAGTCTGGACGCTCCGCGGTCGACAGTGGAAGCCTTTGTCAACCGCTCCAGTAAACCTCATTTCGTGAGGCATACCGGGGCAGTCGACAGTTCCTATGTCTAGTAAACTCATCTACATGGCTCTGTTGACGTAGCCATGTAGTCTAGACACACCCTCAGTGATTGGGCAACCAAATGGCAAATGAATTTTAATGTTGATCAATGTAAAGTAATTCACATTGGAAAAAATAATCCCTTCTAGATGTACAATATGATGGGGACTAATTTAGCTACAACTACTCAAGAGAGATGTTGGAGTCATTGTGGAGCGTTCTCTGAAAACATCCCCTCTGTGTGCTGTGGACAGTCACGTGGACAAAGGATGACTGGACACACATCGGGTATTCGGAGTGGGGACACACAGACACCCGCTGCGAAACACTTTAACCTGCCCGGGCACTTGCTCCTGGACTTGAAGGGGGCTATTCTCTTACAAAGCCATTTCAGGAACCAGCTAGAGCCAGAGTCTGCACAACTGGCCTCCATATGCAAATCTGATACTATCTTGCAGGGCTTGAACAAAGATATGAACTGGATGGGCTGTTACATTCCACCCAAATGACATCAAAAGCGACGTATGGGCCACTTGCTGCCCCCTCTAGTAGCCTCATTTAGCCGGGACACTGTAACTGAGTTTTTTCTCCTGCCCCTCTCCCCTTTTTCTCTGCTTTATAACTTCACCTCTGCCCCTTGCTCCACATTTGTCAGCTGAAGAAGTGGGCTGTGCCCACGAAAGCTCATGATCCCATCGACGGGTTTCGGTTAGTCTCTCAGGTGCCACAGGACCTTTGTTGTCTTTTAAGTTTTTTTAGTTAGACTAACACGACTCCCCCTCGGAGACCCTAGTTCTTGTGCTATGGGAGAGCAAGTGCCCCATCTCCTGTTCGGGTGACTAACGAATCAGCCAGATCTTTCAAACCCAGCTGCTCCTATTGAACACAAAGTCCTAAGTGAGACCAACAGGAACTGTTGAGTTCGAAGGCTATGTCTACACTGCCCCTGTTTTGCTCAAAAAATATGCAAATGATGCAAAATATGGAATAGTGACGCACCTCATTTGCATAATTAATTAATCTGTTTTTGTGCAAACCCCCCCCCTTGCCTAAGAGCCGTTCTTCCTGAAAAAAAAGGGGAAGAACGGCTCTTGCTCAGAAGCCTCTTGTGCAAAAACGGAGCCTCATTACGAATCTTAAAGGGTTAACAACCAGGAGGCAAATAACACCCCCTCCAGAAATTACTGTGTTTTAAAATGTCACAATCTTCAAAACCCATTTCCTGTGTCTGGGGGGGGGGGGGGGGGGTATCCCGGCTGGAGCAGGGAACCTGTGTTTGGAGAGGATTAATGGCTTTTCTGGTTTTCTTCCTTGATGGCACATTGTGATGCATTTCTGAATCTCCAGGATGAGGTGCAATAGCGTGGTGAAAACAAAAGGGGAAAAGAATATGTGTTTGTTGGAAAAGCTTCAGTCTATTGTAGAATGACCCTTCCATCAGTGGCTTAAAGCTTCCTAAATGGCAAATTTAGATAAATGGTATTTTGATTTAAAAGTGGATTAAACAAAGCGTTTGTATGAATAACCCCCTTATCTCACCATCCACAAATCCTTTCCTTTTTAAGTAGTAATGATACATAAAGGGCACATTGTATTTCGAAGCACGGTAAATCTGAAACTAGGCTAATAATCCGGATGAATTTAAAATAAACCTGAAAAATCAAAGGACTCATAGATTTTGAGGCCAGAAAGGAATCATTATGAAAATCAAGTCTGACCTCCTCCATAAATCAGGCAAAAGAACTTCAGCTTGTGATTCCTGCCTCTCATGAATATCTCCTGGTTCAATTTGATCCGTATTTCTCAGCCTTCTCAGTTTCCCACAGCCCTTTACTCCAGTCAAACATTTTCACAACTGCGTTTCGTCTTCTCTAGAAGTCAGTGTAAAAATAGATCCGTGAGAACAGCGATACTTCATTTTAGCGGTGTGTTCCGAGCGATTGCTAGAGAATACTTGACCTTGACGGATAAGGAGGTGCAGGGAGTGGGAGCATGAGATTTTCTTTGCTTAAGAATGTCAGGAAGTTTTCAATGCCTCGTCAGCATCCTAATTGACTTTCATGATCCTCCTAAGCATCCTGATGCCAGATTTGAAATATGTTGAACTAGAGAGTCTCTGTTACGAAGACATCCCGTTTTGATTTAAAGGCTTCTGGTGATGGAGAACCTACCACAGCTCAAAGGCAGTTGTTCCAAGGGCTAATTAACAAGCTGCTTTTTATTTGTAGCCTACATTTGTCTAACGTCAACTTCCAGCCACTGGATCTTGTTATGGGTTTGTCTGCTAGGCTAAAGAGTCATCGAATGTGCAAAATCTTTGATTTGGGAAGGTCTTTAGAGCAGGGGTCTCAAATTCCGGGCCAATCCCAGCTGGAGCAATTGTGCAATTTGGGTCAGGACCCCCTCAGGCCGGGATGGGGGGCAGTCCATTACTGACCCCCCAACTCCGTCCCTTACTGCCATTACCCCGCCCTCTCTCCTGAATGGCTCCGGGGGGGCCTGGTGCCATGCAGCAGCTGTGGTCACGCCCTCCGGCACTCCCGGCGGTGGGCGGAGCCATGGGGGAAGTGGGACACAGCAGGTGGGCCAATGGCAGGAAGGGGTGGGACTTGGAGGCCAATAACGGACAGGCCTCCCCTGGCCCGATGGGGGTCCAGGGCTGGATTGCATAATCGCTCCGACCGGGACTAGTCCATGGACCAGAAGTTCTAGACCCTGGGTTTAGAGACTGTGCTCAGAGCGACTTGTGACTTGTTCTTCATTAAGCTAAACGGACGGAGCTCTCTGGCGCGTGAATCATTCTTCTGACCGGCAGGACGCGTTTCCTAAGGCCCAACCTCAACCTCCCTTGCTGCAGTCTAAGCTCCTTGCTTCTTGTCCTGTCCTCAGAGGCCAAGGGGAACAAGTTCTCTCCCTCCTCCCCGGGACACCTTTTTACTTGAATCATTCAGCTCAGACTAATCGGGCAGCAGATGGTCTGGTTGTTAAACGAGGAGACTGACGGACTGAGCGCTAGACTGGTGCAGTCAGCACGTCCCATCGTGTTCAGGGTCCGGCCGTGGAGATGCCGGGAGCGCCTGGTTTCTTGAGAGATGACCAGTCATGGCTTTGGGGAGGCGCCGATGCTTACTTCATTGTCAACTGGCTTTCTCTCCTGCCTTGATGGCCAGAGCAAGCGAGGGCCCCCCTCTTTTGAGAGCATAGCAGGGTACGTCTGGGCTGGCGCTCGGCAGATGGGTGAATCTCATCCTAGTATCTGCCGTGTGCTTGAAATCCCCAGAGGGAAGATGCTGGGGGAGCGGATACCGGCATTAGACCAATGACTTTCCAGCTTCCG